TCTGTGGGTTCAGTTCAGTGCTCTAATACCTGCTGGATGTAGCTTGCCTTGACAGTTTTTTAACATCTAAAAGAAAGAAAAGAAAATGAAGAGGAAGCAAAGTGAACAGGCCTTGATCGTGACAGGCCTACAGCTCTTTGACTGTTAGCTTTTCACTGTGCTACAGCATGAAAGCTCTTGGTCTCTGCTAAATCATGCTTTGAGTAAACGTGGATGGCTCACGTACATGAAAGACTTGGAACAACAGTTTCTCGGGGATGACAGCACGGCTGTGGATCAAGACATGCCTTTTTCTTTATTGTTGGGAGGGGACTGAAGTCTAAAGTTGGGTCTTTGTGTTGCAAGTCTTAATGTAATCTTATTTTAAGGAAGGAGGGGAAAAAAAAATCCCACAACAAAAAAGGAGTGCTCTCCAGGAACGGGATCAAGCAGTGCAACTGCCTGTTTTTCTTGATAGCAGGATTTCCTTTTTCCTAAAGCATTTCTGACTCCGGCAGTATTTATCAGCCACGTAAACTAGGGACCTCAGCTATAAGGTTTCGACCTGTATTCTCCAGAAACAGGACTGTATAGTGGAAATGGGATGAACCGGCTTGTACGTGCTGCCTTGCTGTGGAAGCAGGACTGTCTTTGCATTTCACTGTTGCACAATCAATTTTCAGACTAAGATTCTTTGTTTTACATAGTCAGGGGGCTTAATTCAGCCCTGAAACAATGGGCCAACCTCAGCTTGGATATTGCTCGAGTTAATTAAAAAGAGTAGCATGAGGGCTAAATTTGGCATAGAGCATTTAAGTGACTGGCTTTAGAGGCAAGGAAGAAAACCCTTGCTTAGCTCACTGCATCCAGCTCTTCAAATGCAAATTAACCTGCCAGCATCTGCATGTAGCCACAAAGGGTAGCTGCAACAAGGAGCTCTAAACATCCAAAAGAAGGTCTGAAAACGTTTTGTTCCAAACAGCTATTTTCTAAAATAATTTCTAGTAAATAAGAATACATTTGAAGTGGTAAACTGAGCATCTGCTACATGAAACGAATGGAGGACAGCATGTGAAAAGAAACATATGTCAAGTGTGCACTTCAGATGCATGCAGTACTTGCCTCCAAAAAAGCGAATTTAACCCGCTTTGCAGCAAACACTGAGTAAAAATTACCTCTGCAGACACAAGAGCAGCCCTGAGTAAGTGCAGAAATTTCGGCTCAGCCATACCTTTCCTTTCCCGTAGCTGGAGAGAATAGCTCCCTGTATTTAGCTGATTCATGGGTTCTTTTCCTGCGCGAAGCCTTCGGCATGCCAAGCCCAGATGGCTTTTGTTTGGAGCAAACAACGTCTCTTTACTAGTACATTAGCAGAGCTAACCAAGTCACTGCTGGAGCCAAATCATACCACATTTGGTTCATAGGAGAGACGACGATATAAAAATACCCCTGTGCTTGTCTAAAGTATCTCGTATGCCAGCGGAGCCAACGACACCCTTACTAGGACGGATTCAGCGCTGTGTACAGCAGGAAACGAGCTCCATCGCTGGAAGGGAATTGCTTCTGAATCAATTCCTTTCCCGAATACACTGCAACTCAGGTAAATTGTATTTCAGTGTTTCATTTAGCCTGTTATCCTCAGACAAGACGTTTATTGACTTTAGTGAAGATCTTACTTCCATAACAAATACAGAGTAAAGCCCCTTTAGCGTGGAACAGAAGGAAAGGTTGGATTTCAGATCTAAAGGCGCAACTTTTCTTTACGATGCAACGTGCAGCAATATTTCGCTCTTGATTGCGGTGTAAGCCGGCCATAAGACAAGGAGATAGCTCTGCCCAAGGTTCTGATGCCTCTTTTCTGTCGGAAGAATAATCTTCCGAGGAAACCTGGCACCCATGTACGGTCTGCCAAGCCGCTAGGGCTTTGCTTCGTTTTCAGCCGCGCAGCTCTGGTCTCGGGTGTAGTGACCTCCTAAGCCCTTCCTACCAAAATGAAAACAAGCCACCAGCAGCATCTGCAGAAGCCACGACGCTGCTGTACTGTAGGATAATCAAAACAGGAGTCAAAATCCCATCCACGCACAAACCAGTCTGCCACTGCAGCGAGCTTGTGCCAACGCTGTCACTCACCTGCGGGCTTTTAGCCTGAATCAGGACTGAGTAAAGGTCTTAGACTCAGGTGACAGCGTCAGGCTTTGGCCTTTCCACCTTGGCGTAACTTGGCATCCGTACTAACAAATAAAAAGTGAGGGACGGGTAGAGAAGACGAAAGAGAAAATTCTCTAGAAAACACAAAAATCTGCCAGACCCAACTGCTGCTCCCCAAAACAACTTCAGAAATCAGATCGCCTCCTGCCCGGTATCAGTGGCTTTGCCTCTTTGCTCAGTTTGTGCTTCCATGTTTCTTCCCTGATATGGAGAAGTGCAATTACCGAAACGAAGCGCCTCCGTGCTAATAGCAGTGGTGAAGTGACACGGCGCATCAGCCTTTTCCTTAATCCCCTCGGCCTGCGAAGAAGCACGGGGAGCGCTGTGGAGTGCACGTCCACCACGGCAACAGCCCTGGTCTTCCAAGAATCAGATTGCCACAGTGCCCCCGGGCCTCGCTCCGACACCTTCCCCGTTCCACAGCAAAATAAATACATACAATTCCAAGGGTTGCACAAATACAGTGCAAAATATGAAACGCTATAGGGTCACCCAATGGTTTACTTAGAAAGGAACTTATCATTAAAAACGTATGAATGCGGCCACATGTTGTTGCTATATAAATATTTAAAGGGATGCCTCTTGTGAGGGCCGCATTCCAAGCTATACCTAAAATAACTTGCGCGAATGAAAATTAAAAGACTATTTCACCTTTTCAGACTTGTCTAAGCTGCCTTTGGATGCATTTTTTTTTACCCCAGCCACTGAACATTAGTATTGGAAAAGATATCAGACAAAATTCATTTTTGGTGTAATTCTACCAAAGTCAGCAGAGTTAAACTGAAGATGATTTTTTGGGCCTTTTAAATAGAGTGTAATTTTCTCCATGGGTAGTTATTAAAAGCTATTGAGAGGGAGATTGCTGCTGGAAAGGCGTTCGGGAGAGGTCATTCTATCCCGCGTGAATAACGCCAGTGAAAAAATCAAAAGGTTTGTAGTTTCTACAAGTTGGAAAGTCCCTTAGGGCTCTAACTGCACCACACATCGCTGCCTGACCCAAAGCTAGGAGCATATGTCTATTCTGAGTTGAAATATTCCAGCTTGACATCCACTCCTACATTACCAGAATTCTGCCTGTAGAAATTTCTTAAAATATTGGAGGGGGCACTGCAGAAGATGTCCATTGGGATGTTTGGTCCCATCTCCATCCCAGGGGACATATTCCCCGAGTATACTTTGGGAGTCGCTGCTGAATGTTGACATTTTGGACCTGGTTAGGGTTTGTATGCCTTTCACCAGCTGCCCTAAGCACTATTCGAGAAACGCCTTCCCTCTCCTTCTTACTTTGGACGCCGTGATTCCTGTAGTCTCGTCTGCGCGCAGACGATCAGGAAGGATGCAGGGAGTACCCAGCCTAGTGCTGCATGCATGCCTTCACGACATGATAGACATTTCCAGGCTAAGGAAGTTTGAGACCGGAAGCTTCCTAATTTCTTGGCATAGAAGGACCCCCAAGGTCACTGTACGGGAGGGTGTCACTGCTGTCAGCAGCAGGATGGCCAAGCAACACCTCCTCTCAAAAGGAAACTCAAGGCTCTGGATCCCAAGTGGATGGCGTTGCCCCTGGCACGGAGCCGAGCCAGGTACCCAAACTGAGGAGCAGGAGCCGAGACATAGCGCAGTACTTAACCTTCCTATAGGGTGACGTAGGCAGCTCTCCAGCCAGCGCACAGGTTTCCAGAATTGCTCTTTCAAGGCACCTGAGTTTTCTTGCCTCCATAGGGAGCTCCGCTGCCTAGCTGTGTACTCTGATTTGCCCTGGCAGAAATCAGAAGCTTAATTTTTAGGCAGCGCAGCACCTCGCTTTGTCTGGGTCTTGCCTAAATAAATACAAATCTTGGCTAAATGTTGGGGCCAAACCCAGAGAACTATTTGACCATTTTACAAAAAGCCTAACTAGAAGAGAGAAGACTGACGGGATGAAAATAGGGGAACACATGAGACCTTATAATTAACATAACGTGCCACAGATGAAATTAAAATGTAAATTAGGATCTCTAAACAAAGTGGTTAAGCTCTATCCCTTGGGACAGCTAAACATGAAATGGGCAAAGGATACATCAGAGGAGCTATTCTTACGCTTGTAGCACTTTGGGCTAGATTGTAGGTATTTTCTCTCTCTAACAGCCACAATGCTGAGCTCCAAGAAAGGATTTGTCTGTGTGATGCAGTGAAGCTCAGCAATAATTACCCATTGTGCTCTGTGATGAGCTATCCTTTTGGTTCTTCAGTAGCCCATGCACCTGGACTTTAACTAACACCAAATAATATGCACAGAAAACATTTTTATGTACGAGGAGGTGAACATCACGAAAAATCAGAGAGCCTTTGTATGGCATGCCAAACTGCTGAAGCGAAAAAATGTCTTCAGTGAAAGGGCTCAGATGTGAGCATGTTTCAGTGCACAGCTCCAGGAAAAACTCTGATAATAAATGTGAGCTTGTTATCGTTGCTTTTCAGTGGGAAGTAAAGCCGGAAGCAGGGTCGTGCTGGCTAATTGAAGCTTACATTTTCATTCAAGCACTGCATTTTAATTATAAACTGGTGACACAAGTGTCACTTAGTTCTTATCCTGTTTTAAGTGTGCATATGTATAAAAATATTTTCAGTTATTAATTTATTCTTGTGATCCTGTTCATTATCCTACATTATGTCTACCAGGCACGTGTCTAATAACATGTTTGATACATGCTAATTCTTATGCCTCTTTTAATACAAGGCTTACGCACACATTTTAGGCTGAACAGTGTGCCAGTTGGCCACCAAACCAGGTGCACATTAATGCTATAAAATCAGCATTAGTAACTGCGTACCCATATTCTGGCCAGCTGCAACCACTTGCACAGCCCTCCCGGGGCGGAGTACTCATGCCAGGAAAAGGGATAACCTGTGGGAATAGCTGCAATCAAAGACGTAGCCTGCAGACGAGGTCCTGGCTTCCCAGGTTGGGGCCCCGATTCAGAAACATTCATCCTCTGCATAACTTCTGCATCCGAGCGGTTCCTCTGACTCTGCTGCAAGGTCAAGCAGGGGTTGACTCTTTGCAGGACTCAGGCCCGGGGTAAGATTTAGAATTCAGGTGGAAAATTTCTGGCCCGTATTTCCTTCTCTGTAGGGTTTTATTGCTGTGTCCCAAGACGGTCTCCAGCTAGAATGCTGCTGTTTTTACACAAAAATTTAAATAAAATGAGGAAAAGATAACTGGGAATTGGCTACTAAGAGACACAAAAAGTCATTAAAGTCAGAAGATTACAAATAAAAATATCAACTATCCCTAGAAAACAAGCTTTGAAGGTAATGTCCTTCAAAACCATTGAATGGAATGGCGTAGCTATTTTTTTTTCCTCTTAATTTGTTATCAAACTACAAAGTAGATTGTATTTTAATAAGTACTATCATAGTGGGACATTGCAAATGAATCGTTTGACTGGCTATAATTAGAAGTGATGCTCTGCATGCAGCACCTTGTATTACTCTTTACTACTACTACACACTTATTTCAGAGCTTGCATCCTTAAGGGTCTCAAAGCATGTCCAAAACTGTCTGCATTTGCCAGTGCTAAAGCCAAGGACAACAATATAGCAAAATGTGCACAGCAAAGGAGAAATGCTCACCAGTCACTGCAGAAAACCTTCAGTCTGCTGAGAAGAACCACAGGATGTTTAATCTCATGGTTAGCAGTCAGAGGCATAGTCTCAGATGAATATTTTGGAAACACCTAAGTAACTTAGAAAACCAAATTCTATTGGCTCCCAATGCAACGCAAGCTTCAAAGACACAAACCATTTCTGGGAATACATTTAGAGTTCACAAGCTACACTCTTTGAAAAGATTACCCATCATCTCAAAGGATCTTTTGTTGACAAGCATAAATGTCTTTTAGCAGCACACAGAGCAAGGCGGATGCGCGCCAGCTCTGATCCAAATCCAGCACACTTGGACCACTTGGATGTGGTCACATCCAAGCAGCACTAAGATCAAGGCCAATACACTCAGCCTCTTGCCAGGTTTTATTAGCTGGGTGCATATACGTAGAGTGGCGTTTGGATGGGGACTGCTTGCGTCCCACCAGGCGGTTGGAGGTGTGAGCTTGGGTGTCTCTCTGCGAAGAGCACATTCACATACCCCAAATCCCTGCAACGGCAAACAACTCGCGCTCTGCTGCCTGTCTGCAAGAAGAAGTTAAGCACCTAACAGGGTAGGATTAGAAACCATAGTTTTTATGGAGACATTTCCAAACTGTTACTTAGATCCCTGAGCTGTTTTATCATATCCAGGGTAGCTCTGCTTGATACTGACATTTTCCAGCAGTTCTCATAATAAAACCCAATTTCAATCTTTATATTGTTGTTAGGCTCTAACTGTACAGAACAAACGGTTGTAAGCTGAATGGATGGATGTCAGGTTGGCAAGATGGGAGCAGGGGAGTTTTAAGTTTGGGAGGAAACAGAAGAGTCTAGGACCACAAGAGCACTCTCCCTCTACAACACGCAATAGAAACCAAATTTCTGAAGTTTTAGGATTTTGCCATTGCCAACAAATAACCCACAGACAGTGTTTCCTGTTCTCCATCAGGAAAGGCATACCCAGACAATAACAATTATTTTAGGCAATATTTTATGCTACTTACAGAGTTTCAACCCTGTTCATGAGTTATGTGTATAAATGTGATGCCACATAGTGCAAATTTCTGTTTCATCAGTTTGCTAAAGACAAACTAACATGCAAGGAAACCAACTTTAGCCAATTTTACATTAAAAAAGTATGTAAGTATGTAAAAGAACATTGCTATGGTTCACCTGAGACTAGACAATCTACCGGGCAAAGATGATTAAAGCGCACTATTGCCATTAGCAAATGATGTACAAGGGAATGTTACTAACCTTCATGTCTGGCTACCTTTGAAAACCCAGTCTAAACAATCACAAGGTCTTTCAGCCTCGACGAGTTTGCTGTTTCATTAGCCTGTGGATATCTGAATGCAGGGAGCTGAGCTTTAAAAAAAAAATATCATGGCGATTCTTATAAAGAATCATCCACAGTGTGTTGATAATAGCAATCACTGATATTCAGTGAGCCGTAAGAGAGATATATGCAGTTGTAAGATAGGTATATAAAATAATTTGTATTTTAGATTTGATTACATTTAGGCAACGTACCTCTGCAATATCCTATTTCAAGTTATAATTGTGACATGTCATGGTTTCTATTTAATGCCTTACAGCAACAATACATAAACTATGCCTCTGGGAAGCAAATAAGACACAGCAACAACCCCAACGCTATTGAATACTGTATTTGTGGACAAGAGAAAATGTTCAATCATCCATATTCTATACCAAATTGTATTATTTAAAATGTATAAATGAGAGAAAACGGATCTGAGACCTCTGGTAGAAAATTGGCAGTGACTTAAAAACAGTTATTAACTAAATCTGAAAAAAAGTTGGAATGTAAATGAGGATAGTAACTCCTCACTGAGCTGAACTCCTCTCCCTGGTGAACGGGAGATGCTTGTCGCTTCTGAATCTCTCTGAAATATTTGGCATTATCAAGCTAATGGGATTGGCTAAGTGAGATGCTTTCAAAGGGCATAACTAAATGGCACAATTCCAAAACAGCAATTAAAAGGAGGAATGCTTGAAAAAGAACAATGAAAGAGGTTAATTTGTATCAGGGCTTGGCAATCTGCACAGGAAATACTATAATTGCTTGTAGCACTTCTCTTTTGTCCACCTCTCCCTATTATGACAGAATGTTTAAATCTATTGTCCCTGTGTATATGAAGTTTGACAAAAAGTGACTCATTTCTGCTGAAGAAGAATTTACAGTACTCTTTACAAAGTAAACAGGAACTCAGATAAACACATGGGAAACAAAGTAAAACAGGCAGAGAAAAGAGAGCCCAAATCCTGTATCTTTGGACACGTGTATGATTACCTGTTTTTGGCTGGCAGGAGGGCACAGAGATGCTTGAGACTTAAGAGGAGAAATAAAAAACCCTGGGTTTCTACCTGGGGCGGTATCTACCAGTTTTCTAAAGAAAGACTCTTGCACAACTGTTGAAAAGCTAATGTAGAAGGTACCTTTTTAACAGAAGGGAAGTTATAACGTTTCAGGGGGAAGGAAAAGGGAATGAGAACAAAGATGTTCAGGCTACAATACACCACGAGAGGGAAGAGAAAGAAGGGCTGGACTATCTGCCAGGCTAAATCAAGAACAGCTTCAAAGATTTGACTGAATTTGACCCACAGCATGCAACAACTGGCAAGAAGGCCCCCAGATGTGAAGGGAGATGGAGCTAAAGTCTGCCTAGCTACGCCATCCATCCTGCAGGCAGTTTGCCCTGAGGCTTGCTATTTCGAGAGATTAGAGAGGCCACATGTCATTAATATTATAATAAATCCCAAGATAGAAAAAGTCACCGTCTCAAATTTTGCTCTGGTCCCCAGCATCTCTTTTGTGGTGCCCCCCCCCCCCCAATACATGGCAAAAATATGCATTTACACGTGCAGAATACCATTCTGAAAGACAAAATATAAACCAAAGCCTAGGGAAGAGCCATTTTCCACCCTAAAATAAATAGATGTACTTTGGAAATGGAGACGAACAAATAAAAGGAGTAACTATCTGGAAAGAGAAGAGAGAAGACAAAATGCACTGTAATTTAACTGATCAAAATACAGCAAAGAACTCAGACACTTTAGTGCAAGGTAGAAAATAGAGAGAAGGCCTGCATGGCACTAGAGCTATCTACTAAAAACATCCTTTTGTTCTGAAGCCATAAATGTGTATCCCTCTCGCAGACATACGGGCAGTTGTGCATTTATCCTGTTTATTTTACTTCTCCTTTGCATCCTGCTTTGCCATCTGTTGGCAAGAATTTGGATGTTGAACCATAAGACTGCAATATAATAACCATCAGTAAACAGAAATCTAAAATGAAGATAACCACAAAGCAATATTTTGAAGCAGAACCATTTTTTCAGTGTGACAAAAAACGTTAGAAAGTATGATTTACGTCATGAGATGATTCTTGGCTCAGAAAAGAAGGACTAGCAGGAAAATGTCCAATTGAAGGGACAGATCTATGATCCCTTCACTTACATTGGCTTCATATTGGCATAATTCCACTGACTTCCTAGAAAGCAGTTTAAATTTATGTAGGTGGAGAATCAGACTTAATCCTGTCCCTCAAGGAAGACATGCTTAAATACAAAATTGTGTATGTATAAAACATAAGTGGCAGGCAAAATGTTTCAAAACCAGTTAAACTAGCGTTCATACAAGTTCACTGAGCTGGGCAGTCCTACTGCTGCGTCCCGATCTCTCCACATCATCTTTTCCCTTTTATTATTTCTACAGAGGAAAGCGGATGGGAAGGAAGCACAGTTATCCCTGCTATTCGGGGACACAAAGATAAAGCAACTTGCCCAACATCACGCAGGAAGTCTAGCAAAGCCCAGACCTACAAGCCCATCCTCCTTGTCCGTCTCCATTTCCATTTCCACCATGGGATGTAGAAGTTACTGCTCCGCTCCTTGACACACCAAACCACACAGACTCCTGCCAAATATCTGTGTGCTTAGGGGTATTAACACCACGCTTCACGCTACGCTTACCACGCAAGTACTTCTGCTGGGTCAAAAGAAGTAAAAAAGGACATAAACACACCGGCCTCACCTATTTTTTCCCCCTTTCATCGTTCTGTTTCTGTAAAGGTATACATGGCTACGGACGGAAGATGTCAAACACATGCACTCCCTCTCCTCCAGCCTTTTAAGGTGGCTCACGTGCTCTGCACCTGGCAAGACTCTGCCCAAAGTTACA